GTATTTATAAAATACATGGACTGGAACAAAATAAAGGAAAAACAGGCCCTGATGAAACAGATAACCTTACTGAAATAGTCTCTGCCTGTGGACATTGCTCTCTATCTACAAAAGCAAGTTCAAAGATGTTGCTATTTCTGGCTGCGAGATAAACGGAGTTCAGGACATTTCATAACAAAATGCAAAAACAAAAAAAATGTCCTTCAACATGAACAAAATGGCCTGAAACCTGTTTCAGAGGAGTGAATAATAAGAGATCTACTGTCAAAGAAGTTCAATTTTCCGTCTACTCTTGATATTTATGCGCATATATACATATATAAAAACTGCACTTGAGGTGAGTGTTGATAAAAATAACAATTCCATTCATTTCAGCTTGAGTACGTGAACATGAGATGCTTTCTTTGCTCTTTGATGACTTGCACCTGCACCTGTTACTGTGCTCCCTGCAGTTATAAGCAGCGTCAGGTTGGTGCAGCGATTCTAATTTGACATCTTGTGTTTGAGCTGCATTTAAATGCATGCTTTTCATCCTGTCATTTCAGCTTCCTGTCACATAACCCAACAATGGAGCCACCGCAGAGTACAGACCAGTAACTTCCTCTGAGCAACGCTGACCTAAACCCAAATTTTTTTTCCAGCCAGAGAGAAATGTCAAGTCCGGAGCTAGAACTCGTCTGTTTGAGGGGAACATTGCAGCTAAATATAGCCTGCTAGCCTCTGTGCCGCCTGACATACATCACGCTCTACGGCTCCTGCTAAAAGTGGTGAATTTTGGCAGACTGCCATGCAGTCTCTAACTATTTAATATTGTAACTGTACAAAGAAAATTATACCTAAGCACTGGAGTGTACACTGTTGCCTGGTTACCTAATGCCATGTTGGGAATTCATCTTGCTATGGAACAGAAAACACTTAGAGCCGGAGCCAATAATAGATCCTTGGACCACACAAAAAATAGTTTAAGGGTGTCAACAAGAATGGCCAACGTGAAGTTGAGAAGCAAGAAAACATTTCACACGTCTCGGTGTACATTAATATGTGTTTTCTGGCTGATTCTGTATCTGTAACCCCATGTGAAATTATATAATTAATATTCATGTGACATTTTGCCAGTGGGATGATGGACAGACTGACAGCTTATCAACTAGTGTGAAAAACAGCTAAAGGACACACTGTGCCAAATGACAGTGAATCCTTTAAACTAATTATAAAATGCTTTTTTAAGTATGGTGCTTCATTGAAAATCTCACAAATCATCTCTTGGTTAGGACTACAGGAGGTTATAGGAGGCAGAATTTAAAAGAACAGAATATGGACTTATACACAATATTAAATATGGAATATAGAGCAGCGGTTGAAGTTATAGTTTTACAAATAAACCATGCAGTGTAACAAGTACATAACATAAAATTTAACAGTGATTATAATAATCAGTAGTGTAATAATTACCCACAAATATCAACTTACCATAATGTAGAATCAGTGGGAGGATTAACTGCAGACCCCGGTGGGAGTGAGGCTGAGAGAAAGTGGCAACTTTTCGAGGAAAAAAAAGTTAACTGGAAGACAAAAGAAAACACAATACATACAACTGTGAACAACTTCATTCTTTCATGCAGCCCAGTGTCACATTATCAATGGCCCAATTATTATTGCAGTCGTAGTGTCAAACCTTCAGGAGTTACAGAACTGGACAGTCCAGACCTGCATGTGACACAAATACTCTATTTATGAGGAGTCATAGTTATATGATTCTTGGAGAGTTCTCTCCAAAACTCATCTATACTTTATTTTTTTTGTAATCATGTGTAATGTTTGGTAGAATATGTATTATCTGCAAAGGCATTTTAAAAAGGCAATAAACAAAATATTTATATATAGAATATTTGTAATTCTGAAAATTGAGGTTTTTATTGATGTTTATTTTTTTTGCAGTCCCTGAGTGAATAATGTCCTGCTACTGTAAAACATACAATTTTTTATGCTATGTAGAACACACAATTATTAAAAAAAGACCCTTCTCCAGTCGAGCTGCATTGTCTGCTTCAGGACATGAAGGCAGCTGTCACACTGTCACAGTCAGTTAAGGAGGCCACACAAAAACAGGAAGTAAATCCTAACTGACAAAGCGTAATTCATTACTTTCATCACTGCAGTTGTGTAAAGGGGCATTGACGTTTTTCGTAACCTGCACACTTTAATCACACACCAAACTTTAACTCTTTAGGTCTTTGCTTGTGTCATTACTCTTAAAAACATTTTAAATAAATACCATAACCAAAAGACAGTTTTACAACGACAGATAAAAAGCACGCACCATGTCACTATAATAAATCTTTTATATGTACATGCGAACGTATCTTTGGCAGTGAATAATTCACAGATGCCTTGTTGTATCAAAGACAGTTTGTCTCATTAACACTTTGACTGGTACTATGTAATAATGCGTGAGACCAAGTGTACGATGCTGTTAAAATGACTTTCTCTCCATGACACAGCTCAGATGGTACCTGCCCCCTCAAGCCATCTGAGCAGTGCAGACATCTGTGAGCACTAACCTGCCAAGAACAAGTCTAATATAAAAATATGATAAATATTCAGAAATGGAAAAACAGTCTGAGGGTCAGTGGGAATGGATGAGAGTGGCTTTCATGTCAAGTTTGAGACATGTTTTTCTTGTGTCGCTGTCTCAGTGAAAATGTCATGTGGACGTTTGAAGGGTCTGTTGTTCTTAGAAAAACAACTCAACATGTTTCTGTGTCAGATTTAGTAGCTCAAGAAATCCAGGGTCTGGAATAAGACTGTGGAAAAAGATGTTTGGGCAAAATATCTCTGAAATTCCAAAGCAACAATAACAATTAGTTCTTGACCTGTGCCAATTTGTCTACCAATATTACTGTCCCAGTTACAAATGCAATATTAAGAAAAAAATATTACAAATGTGTACTGTTTAGTCCGTGCTTAAATGCTTTTTTCCGGGCTGTTAATTCTTCATGTACATAAAGCAATTCCTATTTTTGTTTTGCTTTTTTGTAAAGCAAACAGAAAATAAACCTAAAGATATGAATGGGCAAAACCAAATGTGTGACTGACACAGGAAGCAGTGGTGTGTACAGTACCGAAAACTTCACTTGAAAACTGAGAAGATACAATACAATGCAGTAATGATGTTAAATAAAGGTAAAGTATGCATAATTAGATGCTGGACTGCTCTACAGTGCAGAATGTGAATGAAATGATCTGAAAATAGGTTAATCTGCATCAAATATTGTGATGTGAAGCATCTACAGGAATTATCTAGGTTTTAGGAGCACAGCAGAGTAAATCATGCTGCAGAAAATCTCTTCGGTTTGTTATTTAACAGTTATTTTTAAATACAAATCAAAGTCATGAGTTTTTGTTTAGCTGTAAACAAGTATTTATTGGGGTAAATGTCTTCTAACACTCTTGATTAGATCATTATAAACTAATTATACACTTATAAAACAAGAATACGGAAAACATTTTTGACCAGATATATACTTCACCATTTAGCATACCTGAGTTTAAATTTAATAACTAACATTACTGACTTTAATGTCTCCATAGACGTAATTTCAACCATCTTTTCGTTAACCTTCAACACAGTAGTGAACTATGTTTTGATTAACGGTTTCCTATTTAATGGTTTAACATGTTTCCTTAGCTATAGTTTTACATAGTATGGTTTGTCATTCACTTTAAACTAAATAAACTTTATTAAAAACTTCCGTCCGTGGTGAATAACATCTACCTGAGGATGGAGCTGCAGGGGTTTGACGTCTGTGTTGCCAGGTGAGATGCAGCTGGACCCTAACTGAGCCATAAATAAATCTGTTTTGAGCGAAAGTCTGAGCCATGTCACTGACAACCTGCCTGAACCAATTGTCCCCGGATAATCCGTGTGATAGACTGCAGACGAGGTCAACTGCGGCCAACGTCTGTCCTCCGCAGCAGGTGGACTATAGTTCCTCAATATTCATCACTTTTTCGGCTAAAAATCTCAAAATAACTCTCCTGGTGGTGATGACGTCCACGTTACGTTACTGCCTCCCACAGCTCATATGAGACACGCTTGCAAGTTGTTCCGATGTTTATAAAACAGAGGGGCCAGACAGGGTCATTTTAAACTACTCCTGGCCCAGCCATGCTGTAATTAAGCGGCCAACAGGTGAACTGCATAACCCTTGAGTAGATATGTAGTGCGTACACTTATCAGGTAATGCGATTATTTGTTAGATAATCGGATTATTATAAAATAATTGGTAAGCACAAAAAGTCACAATAATAATGAGTAAAAAAAACATTAAGTATTAATAAAAGTAGTACGCTCTCTCTCTATCTATTATTTATTGTGTGCGCGTGCGTGTGCGCGCGCGCGGTTAGACAAGTCTTACGAACGCTATGACACCGTTTCAGTTAGAATGGCACCTGTGGCCAACAGAACCAAAGTGAAATGGAAGTAGTGCCATCTACTGTTCGTTTACGGCCATTATCCTTGATACCATTTAAACCAAATAAATGGTGCTTTAACAATAACTGAAAATATTTATAATTAATTCCTCAAGGAATCTTTATGATGCTTTAAGGTTCCAAATAGAAGAGAGTTGGAAGTTTTAAAATAATGAAGCTGTAAAAGCTCTCAACACCCAACATGAGCATGATGTACGTGTATGGACAACATCCTCACACTCCCACTGGTGGGAACTTTAGTTGAAAAAAAATGACAGAAGAGCCTTTATCCCAAACAGAAGCTGGGCTCAACTGACTGTGTGATTAGCAGAGATTATATGCAGATTTGTCATCGTCATAAATCTCCCGCCATCCAGGGTCTCACATTTTTATTTGTCACTTCAAAGCATTCTTTGGTATCTCTTCTTCGTTTACTGTTTGGCTCCCTGGACAAATGTCTCCCCTCTTAGAGGAGAAACATAGCACCTCTTTTGTTTCTGTTCACCTGTTTCTCACATCATTTTGCTCATCGTATGTCACTTTGTGAACTGATGTTTAGATACAGACATACGATAATTCCTCTTGTTATCTTTATACCCACTTATACCTGCACTAGTATTGGATTTTAAGATGATGTATCCTGATTTATCTGTTGATTTTGTGGCCTCTGGCTCTGCATGATTACTCCTGGAGCAATGATGGGAAATAGTGAAATTAAATTCTCTGTCTTCTCAACTTGTCACTGTCCTACAGCAGCTGGGACATGCTCAATGGGTACACCACTTTCACCCCAGGCCCCTGAATGTCCAGCTGTTTGCTATCGCTCATCCTGACGGCTGGTCAAACAGGGGCACAGCCAAACATCAGCGTATCTGGGGCTTAATCCTGCATGCCTATCACTGTGCATGACTGTTGTCCACGTAGGACCCCATAGCTGGTACCTAGATACCTGGACCATGTGTCTTTTCAGCAACAGCTATAGTACGAGTGTCACTGGTTTTGCAGTGTTTACAGATATTTCCTGCAAATATCTGGCTATAAGCCTACAGTATTGTTTGTGGTTGGACTGTTAAAAACTCTGTATATTTTGGTACCGTTCGTTCCCTCTCATTCACTCCTACCACGGTCTGCAGCCTTCACTGACGACACCTAACTCTAAGCATGGTAAAAATGTTGTAAATACTATTATGAAAAAGACAACAAACAAATACAAAAAGAAGAAAATGGCAGTACAAGATCAGTATACGGAGAGGGAGTTTCCAAGTTGACAACTATTTTAATCACATCTAGTTCAAAAGGAAACAACAATGAAAAGATGGGACCAAAAACATTTGTTATTCTTCTAAAATCATATTTCTTTTTATTCTTTTTAATTTTTATTACCATTGTACGCTTCCTTCCACGCAGACTACACCATCAAAAGTTAAGTAGTGCCTATAAACACATAGAGTCTAAACACAGGGTCAGAGGTCCAGATTTTAAGAGGGGTGGAGATTGAGGAGGTATGTGTGTAGGCATCTGTTTCCTTCATTATACTTCTTTGTACACAGCTTGTTCTGTTAATTTGTGGGAACTTCTCTTCTCTACGAAAGCCTCCCCAGTGAGAAAGAATTTCTGCTTGAGTTACTATGGCCTTTAGGGGGCTCAAGGACAGATCAAGAAGGATTACCCCCAGTAAAGGCAATGCAACCTGGGTACATCCAAAATTGTAAGCATAGCTTTGACGAACATTTCCCTCTCCTCTTTCTTTGTTTTCCTATGCCTTGAAATTTGACTCTGCTCTGGAAAGTTTCCTGGTGGTGAATATGAATTACATTCCTGCACACAGACCTTTCATTTTGCTTACTCCCATTTTACTTTTGCAAATAACAAATCTACTACTCTGGTAGATTACAATGGCATAAAGTTATATGATGAATATGCTGCAAATTGGGAAATTCTGACAAAATGCAAATAATGTCATGTTATACAACAATACATGTAATATATGAAGTTAAACTAAGTCACAATATTTCTTATTACTTGCTAGCATCATCATTTATGGATACATTAAAAATGTGATTTGATTTTTTTGTGAAGTTTTCACTCCATTTGTTGTTCCCATGAAATGTTTTTATTTAGTGCAAACACTGAGAGAGCACAAATCAAGATGATTTACAAAGGCTTGGTATGTTAGGAAATTTAGGGTAAAAGTCACACCGAGACACATTTGAATGCACATGGGCTTGACAACGGTCAAACCTAATAATACAAAATAAATTCAACGTTTTCCAAAGCCTGCTTGTAGTTAAATATTCAACCGCAAGAGGTCCGTGTTACGCTGCACGTTGATGTTTGATGAGTTTCTCTAAGGCATGCTTTAAAATCATATTTTTATCAATTGCAATAGATCAGTCTTTTTTATATTTCGGACAGGTTATTTCCACATGCATCGCGTCAAAAAGAAGTAGATTTACTTTTTTTATAGAAGACGCGAAAAATAGTAGTCGATTTATTTCTTAAATATTTCTATATATAGAAGACGCGCAAAATAGTAAAATAGTTGTCGATTTATTTCTTAAATATTTCTATAATTTTATAGCTGTTTACACAAAGTAAACAGTTCGCAATCCAATCACCCAGCGTTGATGTTTGCAAGGTTACATTTCAAATGCGTAAATTAAAAAAGGCACAATATTGAAAAATATTTAACAAAGGAGCTTGGGTTGCCGTTTTCAAATCTGTGAAGTGCAACAAAATTATTTAGACATTATTTGGTTTTTTTTATAGTAGAATGCACACTTTAACAACGAACCGTAGACGTAATGTTTCCATAAGGTCCATGAGTGCGTCTGTCACAGAGCGATGTTAGCAACGACCAATGAAAACGTCTCTTTCTGGTAGGTTGAGTGCGTTTGCCCAATGAAAACATGTCTCTTTGGAGGATGAAATATGGTGGCGGCAATGTTATGGAGTTTCCGCTACTCTTTCGCTTTCATGCCATAGGTTATTCGGCTAGCAGAAGTGCTAAGTTAGCTCTGTGCTAGGCCGCCAGCAGCAGAGCTGCCGAGGTCAAACTACACTTCTTTTGGGAAGAAAGCGAATAAAACCCCTGTATGCATCTGAATGAAAGTAATTAAAATCTCAGAAATATGGTGGTTCTCAAAATTCGAGACCAGGTAAGTGTTTGTTGTAGTCAAAACCGGACTTGTTTGAACTAATGCTGGCTGCTGGCTAACGAAAGCTAGCTGCCTCGATTTTAACACTCGGCAGCGGAATGTAATTCGACTCTGTCTCCCTCTCTCTCTCTTGCTATCACCGGAACTGAAGCGTTTCCTAAAGCGTTTACCTGGGAACTATGTAGGGTTGTGTATATACTTTAAACAGTCTCTTGGGAGGCGATTTAGTTACAGTGCTCTGTCAGAAATGTGTTGAACTGGATTGTGTACAATGATCAGAAGCATCACATTTACACCGAAACACATGCTTCAGCGGTTATCAAGTTATAACAAGCTATTGTACATTTGAGCTAGAGCTTTAAAACAAATGTATACAAATCTGATCAAAAGACCTAGCTTAACTGACGCATTTAAGCGATCCACAGTTTTAATCATAGTATACAGCATGTAATATCCACAAAGAGTCTATGGCAACAACCAATGCGATCCGTTGGTTATGATGTTGCTGTGACAACTATAACTGTATATTTATAGGAAGCTTATTGTCATGTAATGTCAGGCATGCAGTGTTTGATCCCTTGTCAACTCAGCGATCATATTAACAATCTTTTCTTGTGGATACTGCATTGTGGGTGCAACATGGTATCTATTTTTCTTTAGAAATAAAATAGTCACTGTTAGATTGCTGTGTAAAGGTTATAAATATATAAGGTGTTAAATGAAGTGTGACAGCGTTAGACACAACGTCTCTTATCAAAATAACCACTTGCCACCTACTTGTGAAAACAAGAATAGTATTCTGTTGTCATCAAGGCATGGTAGTTTGTGCCTGCCCCACTATCTTGTATCTCATGTACGTTGATGTGTATTTGATTGTGTGTGTGCTTGAATGATCCTGTGTTCCTGAGCTCCACTGAGGCAGTCAAGTTGCCAAAGAGCAGTCTCCATGGTGATGGTATTAACTAGACTGGCTTGTATAAGGGAAGGAGGTGCACAGTTGTGCATCAAAAGAAAGCTCAGAAAATACACAGACATGTATATCATTCAGTTTCAGACAAAGAAATGTCTTGAGGAAGAAGCTTAGCACTTTGGTTGTATCTGAACATAGCCATTCCTGTGTGATTATAGTTTAAAAAGTAAGTGGCTTAAAGAGTTATTTTAGCACATGAGGTATTTTAAACTGTAAATAGGATTGTGAGTTAGCAGCGGCCTGGGGGTGGGGTAAATAAAGGATAGTACTTATTTCATCCTTTTATTATTTTGTCCCCACATTATATTATGTCACATTATTATATATGGCATATATTATATACTCTAGTTCTTTATGCAGCAAATTTGCAGCTACCGAGTGCTCCAGCTACTCAGAACTACTTTGCTAGATTTCATATATTACCTCCTTCCTGTATGGAGCAAAAGCACCTGAGGTTTATAATTGATGAAGTTGAATGTGCTGGCACAGCAGCTCCCTGAAAACCAAACAGTTTCATGTTCATGTTACAGTAAATTTAAGTATCAGAATTAGTATGGGTCTCTGGAAGAATCTTCTGCTCTGGTCATTCTGGTAGTCAGATAAAGGGGCACAGACATGCATTGTTGTGATGCTATATTGAGGCTATAATAGTTCTGTGTTGGTGTAAAACAGTATTTCATGAAAATAAAGCCACACAGTGTGTAAGTCAAGGGTTTGGTTGATGTTTCCAAATGCATCATACAGTATAAGTTGCATCTACTTTTTTTTAATAATATGTATAAATATACATATAAATATATTTGAACAGCAATTGGAATTAATAAACTGAGGAACTAGCTTCACAAAAGGATGATGAAGTGCTGTTTTATTAGAAAATATACAGTATGACCTGACTTTTCTATGGACGATATTCAGATTCATACTTTACGCCCAGTGTTGGTTTCATTTTGTGCTCAAAATCGTTTTTGTGAGATATGGTGAATTCTACACTGGTAATATAGAGTTCCTCAATACTGCTGTCTTTGATAAGGTTCTTCCAAGAAGCCTGATCTGGAGAGTCAGATTTCGCCACCACCAGTTTATAGTTGTTCAGTTCTCTTTGTCAGTCTCTGTTAAAGGTTTTCCTCCTGATGTTTTTTTAGGGGTGTGTTGTCGGATTGTGTTTCATCTGTGGATGAAAGTATTCATGTTCTTTGTAACAGTGTGGATAGGTTTTCTCGCCTCTAGCGAAACAGAATTAGAAAGTGCCTGCCCAGCTTGTCACGATCGATCCTGGCATTCTGTGCTCATTATCCATCGATGTGTGGACTTGATATATTTTTCTATTTTAAAAAGTATCCCTATATATGAGATTTGATGCAACATTTTGGATAAATCCAAATGTTTTATTCTTTGTTTTTTTCTTACTTTTACAGCCTCCTCTGCTGAAAGCTATCTTCAATGTGGACCCAGATGAAGTACGCTCACTCATATTCAAAAAGGAGGATGTGAATGCACAGGTAATTCAAACAGTGTCTGACTAATCCTCATTCATTTCCTCCTGTTGTTGTGAGATTGTGAGAGCACTAAGTATAAAATGCATGGTGTGTGTCTTCATTTCCCAGTCTTCACAAAGCTGTACTGATGAACAGTACAAAAGCTTATGTTGTTGGGTTTTTACACTGGGGGGTTTTTAGTGTATTGCATTCCTCATGATGACTGCTTTGGGTGTTGTTTGTTTCAAAATCTTACTGGTTTGTACTTGCAAAAGTTTCACCTGAAGGCTTTTCTTGTCACCTAATTTAGTTTTTCTGTGAATGGAGATGTTGTTTTTGACAGCACCTAATGATTTGTAATTGTTAAGTTAGGATGAACAAGCCGATGCCTGTGTTCCAGGTCAATAAATGTTGATGCCAAGTAGAAAACGGACATAATGTCAAGTTATGAGCAGCAGTTGTTTTCTTTCCTCTTTTAACAACGGGATCGTTTTTCTCAACACTCTCTTCAGGACAATGAGAAGCGAACGACATTACATGCTGCTGCCTACCTTGGTGACGCAGAAATAATAGAACTGCTGATTCTTTCAGGTATGTTTTTGTTAAGAGTGACTTAAGGAAATGTGTTCAGTGTTCCGCACTCAGATTGTTGCGGGGGGGCAGGTCATCCCAGTTCACACACTATTCCCTCACCTCTGCTGTTGCAGCCTGTCTATTTCAGGCACTTGCGTTATGAGTTAATAAAAGATGGTTAGATTTACCAGGATACACATGAGTTAAAAAAGACACAGGCCACATTAGGTTATTATACTTCCTGCTTACTTCAAGTGACACGATCATTACTTTTTATATTAAATTATATAATTACTTTTTTATATATATATTTTATTCTCATTTGTTTATGAATGTAGAATAACATTGACATTTGAACTACATTGGATATAGGTATGAACAAGGTGACAGATAATGCACTATATACAGTAGCTGCTCTATACTGCTTTATTTTACTTTTTGAAGGCACATCCCCACAATACAAATTCCCTTTTTCCACCAAAGCCCTCTAAAGGTGCTCCATTGCATTAATATCCGGTTTTTCTGGAGGCTGTATAAGAACAGTGAACTCACTGTCTTATGAATCAATTCCCACCCCCAAAAAACCTTCTACTCAAGGGACGTTTTGTCTCTTTTAAACACTTCCCTGTAAACCCTGAAGCTTTTTGAAAATACCAGCAGATCAGCAGATCCTCCCAACAACAATGAGCGCTTCAGGCGTAAATGTTTGTGGTTCACAGTGGTGTTGTTTCCCCATATGAACCGTAGTCTAGACTTTTCTAACCATTCAAAGGTGCAATATACATATACACGTAGATGTGCCTTATTACTGTGAAAATCAGGCTTTTATTTTAGTGTTTAATTGATGTAATACAGATGATTTTATTTTAGTGTTTAATTGATGTAATACATATTTAGAAAATTTTGCAATTTGGCAAATTGGGATTGTTTCCTTGAATATGAAACTTCCCTGAGTCGGATTTGAATCAGTCAAATTTGTGCTGTTCACACTGTCATTAAATAAAACATGTCACGTAAGGGTAAAAAATTGGATATGGACAACTGTGCCTGCAGTGTGAACATTAACTGATCTGCATACTGGAAATGCATTGGATTTCTGCCATGTTACTGACTAATTAAATATTTACATTAATGATCTGGTGCAACCCATAACTGTGTGTCACTCCCATGCAAATTCCTGTAAAGGTTTGTCGAACGATAAGCCATGTTTCAATAAGTATTTTATGCATTTGTTAGTAGTCCTAATGTCCTGATGTCCGTTTTGATCAGTGATCATATAATACCAAAAGGCTCCATTGAAATGTTACACAAGAGATGACGTAACTGTACGACCCGATGCAATCTAACAGCCAGTGTTCTCTAACTTGTAGGTGGCAGAGTAAATGCCAAAGATAACAAGTGGCTTACACCTCTGCATCGGGCTGTGGCCTCCTGCAGTGAGGTATGTGACTGCTCCTCTTATCCTCCAACACATCCACATTTAACTTCAAAGGTATTTACACCTTAATGTGGTGACCGTTTGTAGGAAGCTGTCCAGGTTTTGCTGAAACACTCTGCAGATGTAAACGCCCGCGATAAGAACTGGCAGACGCCACTGCACATCGCTGCAGCCAACAAGGCTGTGCGCTGTGCCGAAGCCCTGGTCCCCCAGCTCAGCAATGTGAATGTATCCGATAGAGCGGGTCGTACTGCGCTGCACCATGCTGCGTTCAGTGGTCATGTGGAGGTAAAATAATCACTCTGCTAATATGTTTTTGACATTTTGACAGCCATAATATAAACTCTTTCTTCACACAATTTTCCTCATTTTCTCCCTTGTCTGTTTTTCCTAATTTTCCTCATTTTCTCCCTTGTCTGTTGCCTCATGTACACCAACAAAAACTGGATCAATAATCATAAGTATAAGTCTGAAATCCGACTTATATTTCTGATTATTGATCCAGTTGTTGTCGGTGTTTGGAATAAACAGTTATTGAACTGGAATTCATCTCATTGTTGGGAGTCTTTAGAATGTGATTATCTTAGTCCTGTTCAATCAACAATCACTTTTCTGTCTCTATAGTGAGATGGCCTATGTGGACACTGTCTCATTGTCAAATGAGCTTGGCTTGGGTGTGCCACTTGGCTGATACTAAGAGGAAGTGCTTGCCTAAATATTGTGTAAACACAGTGGGCATAGTACCACGTACCAACAAAGAAACAAAGGCTCAGTTACTCAAAAGTAGATCCATGTGTTGTTGATGTCATGAAAATGTCTGGTTGGATTTTATTCTAAAAGCCCCAACAATGACACTTCCACATCAACTGCTTCAAAAGACCACTGAGCTTTTTTCAAAGCACTGCAATACTAAAAAATGAACAATCTCATCGAAAAAAGTAGAAAAAGGAAGAATTTGGAGAGGAAGAAGTAGAGTTCATGTTGACATATCTAACCTGTCTGTTCTGTTCTGTTCTGTTCTCTGCCTTAGATGGTGAGACTCTTGCTCTCCAGAGGTGCAAACATAAATGCCTTTGACAAGAAGGACCGCCGTGCGATCCACTGGGCAGCCTACATGGGTAATCAATAAGTCACTTTTTTTGAATTATTATTATATAGAAAAAAGTGGTTTGTGTTTGTTCATTATATGTTTTATAATAGTGATATCACATTGACAAATCTAATTTACCACTTGTCTTCAGGACACATAGAAGTGGTGAAGCTGCTGGCCTCACATGGAGCCGAGGTGGCCTGCAAAGATAAGAAATCCTACACACCCCTACACGCTGCAGCCTCCAGTGGAATGATTAGTGTTGTCAAATACCTCCTGGACCTGGGGGTGGATGTGAGTTGATGGCTTTATGCTGCAGGCAGTCAGTTTCTCATGCACATAAGTCATGTTTAGATTACGGCTGAACTGACTTATTTAATCGACAGTTTTTACCACAATTTACCACTGTAGCAGCCCGAAGGTGAATCGTTCTGTTCACTAAAGTATATAGTATGTGTCATACAGTATATATGTCCGCCTATGGTAAGGTAGTATTCCTTCCTGATAATATTGAGCTCTGTCCTTTGACTCGATAAATCCCTGTATGAAACCACACACACACACTAGGTTCCATACAGTAGCTCATGTGTCATTACGTCATTAGCTTAATTGAACTATGCCGTACATAACCCACTAAGCATAGATAAATGATTCTCACAATAGGTGGCGACACCTGTTTAAGTTCAGTACATTAAGATTGTTTCTAATATCTGTCTTTAGATTAATGAGCCTAATGCATACGGGAACACACCCCTCCACGTGGCCTGCTACAATGGACAGGACGTGGTGGTTAACGAGCTCATCGAGTGTGGAGCAAATGTCAACCAGGTGAATGAGAAGGGCTTTGCACCTCTTCATTTCACAGCCGCCTCTCGTCAAGGTGCGCTCTGTCTTGAACTGCTGGTTTGCAACGGAGCTGACGTCAACATTAAGGTGAGGAAGAACCGGGATCCTCTCAGTGGTTTCTGTTTATACAGTAGAAGATTGGCTTTACGATATCTGATAATCTTATTAATTAGTTACCAATCTACAGATAAATAACTGTTACAATAAGGGCTGTCAATAAGTATGTATAAATGTGTCAGCAGAAATGTGTTCTGATGGAGAATTCTAACATGTTTTCTTTGACTCTAGAGTAAAGATGGTAAGACTCCTCTCCACATGACGGCCATCCACGGGAGGTTTTGTCGTTCTCAGGCAATAATTGAAAATGGTGAGTTCTCTATATACCTTATGGCGAATAGATATGACTACAGTTTGCTTCTGTATGTAAAGTTCTGCTAAGTCCTCGGTTTGTTTTCTTCTGAAGGTGCTGAGATTGACTGTGAAGACAAAAACGGCAACACACCGCTGCACATTGCGGCCCGATATGGACACGAGCTCCTCATCAACACGCTAATCACCAACAGAGCTGACACAGCGAAGTAAGTGAGCCTGAATCTGCAACTGTTCGACCGACAGTGTAATAGAGCTGCATTTGAAGGTTTTCTGAACCCACGTGAATTGATTGTTATGTAACTGATACATGAGGACTATAATAATTACAGTGATTCTGCCCCAGTGTCTGTGTAAACCATGCTGAATCACAGTGATGCTGTGTTTTTCAGACGAGGCATACACGGTATGTTTCCACTGCATTTGGCTGCTCTCAGTGGATTCTCTGACTGCTGCCGAAAACTCCTCTCATCAGGTGAACCTTCACCACTGTTTCAGTGCCCACACAATCATTTGTTCCACAATTGAAGATTCTGGCAATCTTTTTAATTTCTTCCACTCAAACATTCCTAAATCTGTTTGATTTGGTGTTCAATGCAGGCTTTGATATTGACACTCCTGATGACTTTGGAAGGACCTGTTTACATGCTGCAGCTGCTGGAGGGTGAGCACAGAGAACGAAGAAAATCCCGTAAAAAAACTAAAACAATACTTTCGTCTTTACTTCCTCATTGTAAAAAATGTCCCTATCCCTGATAGAAACCTGGAATGTCTCAATCTTCTTCTCAACACGGGTGCAGACTTCAACAGAAAGGACAGTTTTGGCAGGTTTGTTACATTTTCTGGAGTGGTTGGATGGAGACTTTGTCCATTTTTTCAATCACATTTGAACAATGTGCTGAGCCTTGTTTGTTTTTCCAGGACCCCTCTGCACTATGCTGCCGCCAACTGTAACCACCAGTGCCTGTTTGCTTTGGTGGGCTCCGGGGCCAGCGTCAATGACTTGGACGAACGCGGCTGCACTCCACTACACTATGCTGCTGCCTCCGACACAGACGGAAAGTTAGTAACCATTTCATCTTCGTAAACCACATTTTTACCATAAAAGGACCAAACAATTTAAGTAATATTTTTCATGAAATAACTGTGGAAAGAAAGTTCTTCTTTCATCATCAGCATTCACTCCATCAGCCTGTAGTTCTTTGTTGATTTTTTTTTTGTGGGGATTTTCTTTAATGTAGACCAGTTTTCTATAACTAAAATCTTAAGATTATGCTTTCAAAAATTCTACACATGGTCCCTTAGGCGTGTTCTTTGATAACAGATTATTTGTCGTCTGCGCAGGTGCCTGGAATATTTACTACGAAATGATGCAAATCCAGGGATCCGTGACAATCAAGGCTACAACGCTGTGCACTACGCCTCAGCATATGGACATCGCCTATGTTTGGAACTGGTAGGAACTTTATAAACCAGATTTTACAATTAATGCTTCAGTCTTTGTTTATTTACTGATGCTTGACCCACTGTTTGACAGATTGCAAGTGAAACGCCTCTAGATGTGGTGAGTAGAACTTTTAGCCCCCCCCTCCTTTATAACTGGTTAAGTAGACCACTTATCATATATAAATGTTAATGTAAAAAAACAACTTTTTTTTCAGCTCATGGAAACCTCAGGGACAGACATCCTAAATGATGCTGACGTCAGACCTCCTGTCAGCCCGCTGCACCTTGCTGTGAGTAGTTTGTATAATCTTTAAATGTATATTGTTTACATATCTGTTTTATGAAAAATTGGGCTCGTTTAATAAAATGATCTTTTAGGCGTACCACGGTCACCACCAAGCGATGGAGGTTCTGGTTCAGTCTCTGTTGGATCTTGATGTGAGAAACAGTCAAGGCCGCACCCCATTAGACCTGGCTGCCTTCAAGGGTCATGTGGAGTGTGTGGACGTTCTGATCAACCAAGGAGCCTCTATTCTAGTCAAAGATTTCACGCTAAAGCGAACACCAATCCACGCAGCAGGTAACCTCAAATCAACGTGCTACGAATGACCTGAAAACGGTATGAAGGAAAATGCTGAAGTTGTCGTTGTCTTACTCTTCCTGTGCAGCTACAAATGGTCACTCAGAGTGTTTGCGTTTGCTGATTGGAAATGCTGACCTTTTAAGTGCAGTAGATGTTCAGGATGGAAACGGACAGTAAGTGAAGATTTCATTGATTTTCTTTTTTCTTCTCCACATAATGTGATTAGAAGAAGTTGTTAATGTTACTTTTATTCTGCATTTTAGAACCCCCCTGATGCTGTCTGTCCTGAGTGGACACACTGACTGTGTGTATTCTCTCTTGAGTAAAGGAGCTAATGTAGAAGCCAAAGACAAGTGGGGGAGGACGGCACTGCATAGAGGAGTAAGGACAGACCACTATTGTTACATCAACTCTTTCTTTATACTCGGTGTAAATGTCCATTATGGTACTGTACGGGTCACAAACATAAAGCTCTGGTGCTCCAACTCAGTGAGTTGTTAGTCATTAATAAATCCTTCTGTGTTCTCAGTCGGTGACCGGTCATTCAGAATGTGTAGAAGCTTTACTGCAGCACCGAGCCAACATTCTGACCCGTGACTGTAAAGGGCGAACACCAGTCCACCTGGCAGCAGCATGTGGACACACAGGCGTACTGGGAGGGCTACTGCATGCTGCCCAGTCTGTGGAAACGCTCCCGGTACTAACAGACAACCAAGGCTACACCCCACTCCACTGGGCCTGCTACAACGGTACAGATATAAAGCTTTGGGAGAAACATTAAAAATGACTTTTGTGTTGCGTACAATTGTGTACTCCGAAATATGATTAAAATATAATGGCTGATAGGTTTAATACTTTACGTTTTCATTGCCACAGGTCATGATACATGTGTGGAGGCTTTGTTAGAACAAGAAATCTTTCACAAGGCTGAGGGCAACTCCTTCAGCCCCCTCCACTGTGCTGTGTAAGAAACTTTACTTGTCTGTTTCCATTCACATTTGTGAGGTATATGAATGAAATAACTTTTTTCTATTTCCCTTCCTTAGGATCCATGACAATGAAAGTGCAGCAGAGATGTTGATCGACACTCTGGGCTCTGCTATTGTCAATGCCAAAGACAGTAAAAACAGGTATATATTATATATTATAACTTAATATGACAAGAGTTGCAGCACTTAGAGTGTATGAAAAAGTCATCACAAAATCAACATTTTGGTGATTTGTGCAGGACACCTCTTCATGCAGCAGCCTTCACTGATCAGGTGGAGTGTCTCCAGCTGCTGCTGAGCCACAATAGTCAGGTCAACAGTGTTGACGTCACTGGGAAGACCTCTCTAATGATGGCAGCGGAGAATGGCCAGACCAATGCTGTTGGTAAGACCGCCTCATTTTGAAACCACCAAACTATTGAATGTATAGTTGAATATACAAATTAATTTGGATCTACTTTTTTAGAGCTGCTAGTTAGCAGTGCAAAAGCTGATCTAACTCTACAGGATGCTGTGAAGAACACTGCACTTCATTTGGCCTGCAGTAAGGTACATATAACCTTGTCAAGTAAACGCAGTTCATTTATGCAGTGTGATTTTAAAAATTGTTCATAACTATTGCTGTTGTTTATATCAACAGGGTCATGAAACCAGTGCCTTGTTGATATTGGAAAAGATTACAGACAGAAACCTCATTAACGCCACTAATGCTGCCTTACAGACGTATGTGCCACTTGTGCTGAGCTTTTACTTTTCTGCAAGAGTTTTAAATGACAATGAACATAACTGACAAGTTTATGGCATGAATGTAAAGTTGTGACTTCCTTGTTTTGTTTTTTTTCCCCAAGGCCTCTTCATGTGGCTGCAAGAAATGGGCTGACTGTGGTGGTGCAGGAGCTGCTGGCAAAGGGAGCCAGTGTACTGGCAGTGGATGAAAATGGTAAATTTGCTGCAGAATGTCTTAAAAGTTGGTTTACTTCAATTTCATGATATCATGCCACCTTTAGTTCATTTTTTGTAATAATTTTACCATATTTTCAAATTGTAATAGTTTGGCTGGTCCCACAACTTATTTTATGAAGCGACTTTTGTGTTTTTACCCACTTTTACTTAACTCAACACTGATATAATTTAAAAATGACAAATAGTCTTTTATTGCTATGTGCTAATGGACCACGGCATACTAATGTACCACAGCCCAGCGGTTTGGAATCAACTAAAATGTGGTGTCACTGTTTCAGGTTACACACCAGCCTTGGCTTGTGCTCCCAACAAAGATGTGGCTGACTGCCTTGCCCTCATTCTGGCCACCATGATGCCCGTGTCCCCCTGCACCCCGGCACCTTCCCTCCCTTTCAGTGCCATTAACCACTACACCACCAGCCCCCCGGTGCTGCGTGGTGAGCACACTACATACTGCAGCTTCAACAACATCAGCCACCACGAAGGCTTCTACAGGGACGAAGAGCTGAACGATTCTGATTCAGAGACATACTGATGGACAGCAGGAAGAAATAAAAACACACACTGTGTCTTAGAAATCACCCACCGCCAGCTTGGGAGGGCAGAAGACGAGGAGAGCACACACAGGAGCCTTACGAGTCTCAGAGTTGAGAGCAAAAAAGTGTGGAGGCGCAGCAGGCTGACCCAGACTCATCCTGACCCTGACCCAGTGCCGGGTGTCCTTCCAGCCGATACGGGACCTCAGTATCCATTGCTCTACTGACACTGAGTTCTTGAGTGCTTAAACCTATGCTTTTTGTGCGGACGGCAAACTTTGTATGGCAATAACATGCTGAGGAGAAGTGGTAGCACTTCAGCGAGCTAAACTGATAGGGACCAAAAGACACAGAAGCATTTTAACTCTGTTTTAACTGTAAATGAGGTTAAGAATGTTTTGAATCTGGTTGTTTGGGGTGCGGGACAAATAAGTTTTAAATTTTTTTTGTTGCTGTTTTTGGAAAAAGTTATAAACATTTACATTTGTCAGATCACTTCAAATCTGTAAGTTGTACAGAGCAAAAGTCATTTATTTTTCGAGTGCAAAATTTTAATATACACATTTTCACGTCTTAAACTCTATCCTTGAGAAAAACTGATTCTTCTCACTGAAGTAAATTAAGGAAAGGTTTTTTGTGCAACAGATTTAAGTTGATCATCCTTATCTTTGTATATTGACCTGTCTATTACGGTTTAGTCTTTCGAGAATAAATTATTTGTGTACTTTCAGTTCCTCTTTATGTGTTTATTTGGTGCCTTCAGTTACTGAGCAAAAAGGTATTTTTGCTAATGCAGCTGTGGCAGTACAGTGATGCAGACTCTCGGTTAGTTATGAAAAAATGTTAAAAGCTTTGATCCAAATTTTAAGGCTTAGCTTTGTAAGAAACACTGTAAACCAATGATGTGACAGCCTTTGATGATCTTTAGTTTTGATTGTGTTTGTTGACAGATTTGGTTTGAGCTTTGAAAAATCAAACCACTAGCTCTACCCTTCAAAATCCGCTTTCTGTTAAAAATCCTTCATCAAAAAGAGAAAAGAAAATGGCTAGCTTAATTGAAATTATTTTCCTTGCTTTTCCTTGGAATTTAACTTGTATATGGAAATGTAACTGTGAATTTAAGGCTCCAGTGAACTATTTGATTACTGAGATGACTGTATATTTTCTGAGGAATAAAGAATTGCGTTGCTTGATAGTGGACACGATTCTCAATAAAGACAAAATATATATATATTTATATATATGCTATATATATATATATATATAGCAGCATGATACATTTTAATTTAGTAAACATTTTAATTTATTTACTGATGCTGACAGTTCACACATGATAAACACACAGTTGTTACGCACTGTGTAGAAGTTGGCAACATCTAGTGGTGGACTTTTATATTGTTTGAAAAAAAGATGACGTTATTAAACCAATCATATCCATCCACTAAGTTGAAACGTCATCGGTACGTTGGTGAGACGTAGAGGGTCTGCGATTGGTTTATCATATCGGAACAACCCAATTTGGGCGGGACATGGCGGACTGACGATAGCTGCCTACAGTAAAGAGTGACCTGTCTGTTTTTAAACGCTTTTTTTTAAGTTTGGCAGAATTTGTATCTTTTGTACGTGAATATAACGAGCCATGGAGGACGTGACAGGAGCGCAGCTCATTGCCGAGTCGTTAAAGGCTCAAGTAAGAGGCTTTTCAATAACAACAATAACAGTGAAGTTCCCTGTACAGAGGTTGATGTTTCAAAGTTCAAGGAGTAGCCTGACTTTGCACACTGCTCACAAAATCTTATGTTTTTGGTTAAATAGCATTTTTTTCTTTTTTTTTGCAGAAAGTACAGTACATGTTTGGGATTGTTGGTGTTCCTGTCATTGAGGTGGCCATGGCTGCACAGGCTGCAGGCATCAAATATGTCGGAATGCGCAATGAACAAGCGGTAAACATGCAAAATAAGTATTAAGAAGTATTTATGTCAACAGTATGAGGTACTTCGACATAGTCTATAGTCCTTCTGACTGTTCTGTGTGTGCTCCATTTGTTGGGAATCAAATAGAGACAGACTGGAATGCAGTGAGTGAATATGGTTACAGTTGCAATGAAGTGCAGAGGATTATAATAGGTCTCACTGTGCTGGCCATGGTTTTTGTTTGCATCATCACCACAACATGTTTCAGCCACATTTGTTATAGTGATAACATTTTTGTTATTTCCTGCAGATAAACTTAGAGTCACACTGTCACAAACAATCACACTTTAAACCTATAACAGTCACACTGTCACAAACAATTACACTTTAAACATCTGATCACTCACTGAAATGTTGGTTAAAATTAATTGTTTTTACTGCATTAAAAGACGTTCCTTGTCTCCACAGGCCTGTTATGCAGCCTCTGCCATTGGTTACCTAACAGGAAGGTGAGACCTGGATATTAGGTTCTTATTGCATAATAAGAGACACAAATGTAGTGTGATTTGCCACACAGCATCTCCCTTTGACATTTGTGTACAGGCCAGGTGCCTGTCTGGTGGTTTCTGGACCTGGACTAATTCATGCCCTAGGTGGAATGGCCAATGCTAACATGAACTGCTGGTACAACTTCAGGAACTAGAAGAACACATTTTGTATACGATAAAAAATGAATACAAAGAGGTTTGTTGGTTTGTTTGTTTGCAGGCCTGTTGTTGTTATTGGAGGATCCTCTGATCGGAACCAGGAAACAGCAGGAGCTTTTCAAGAGTTTCCTCAGGTAACACTTGCTTTTACTTGCGTTTTTTAGGCTGATAAAAAAGTTATTATAAATTTTAATTCATCGGCAGGTGGAAGCTTGTCGCCTGTATAGCAAGTTCTCTGCCAGGCCCAGCAGCCTGGAAGCCATCCCCTCAGTGATAGAGAAGGTAACAAGTTGATCAAGATGATCTTTAATCTTATTTGGTCATGTGTGTAATTTTGACTGACTAATTGTGTCATTTGTCTGCATCACTGTAGGCAGTTCGTACTAGCATGTATGGCCGTCCCGGCGCTTGTTATGTGGACATTGCAGGTGACATGGTGAATGCTAGTGTGAACAGGAACAGAGTCAGGTTTTTGATCTTTTGTGCTTGTTTTTACTCTTATGTTGTTACTGTGTAAGTGTAAGTGTGCAGGTATTTAAAAATGTGTGTTTCATCTGCAGAGTTGTGTCCTGTTGTCCACCTGCACCTGTGAGTTTGGCTGCACCTGACGCGATCACTGAGGCAATTTCTGTCTTAAAGGCAGCTAAAAGACCTTTGGCTATCATTGGCAAAGGTAATATCTCTAGTAAAATATACAGGGCCCTGGTGAAATTACCCAAATAACCCAGATATTGCCTGTATTTATGGTATATTAATAAATAAGTCTCGATAAAAACGAGAGCATTGCTTTGTAATGCAGGGGCGGCTTATGGACGAGCAGAAGTAGCTCTACGACAGTTTGTGGAAACGAGTGGTTTGCCATTCCTGCCCACACCGATGGGGAAAGGAGTGCTGCCTGACGATCACCCACACTGTGTAGCTGCTGCCCGCTCAAGGTGAGAAACTGAAATTTAAATAAAAAATCAAATTAAACAATAAATAAAACAACAATAAAGGATTTAAAGACAAAACAACAATTGATTTTTAAAGGATTTAAAGACTCTATGCATCATAGATTACAGTAGTGAGTCTCTCATAGATAGATGCATCATAGATTACAGTAGTGAGTCTTGTTGTTTCTGTCTGTCCCTTAGAGCTCTTCACCAGGCTGATGTTATACTTCTGTTTGGAGCCAGACTTAACTGGATGCTGCATTTTGGTTTACCACCAAGATTTGATCCCAATGTTAAAGTCATCCAGGTATAAATAAATGTTAATAGTTCTCAGTGCTGTGCAGGCAACAGTATTATGAGTTCCCTAAAAGAGTACAAATATTTTTGTCAATACTGCCAACTCAACAACCGTGTTACTGTATGTTTGCAGGTTGATCTTTGTCCTGAGGAGATGGGAAACAATGTGAGGCCAGCAGTTGCTCTCCTAGGAGACCTCAGTTCTATTGTCACACAAGTGAGTTGATTACAACCAGCACTGCACACAAACAATTAGTTATAGTATTATTGCCGTCACCCTGTCTGTTTGTGTCCGTCTTTGTAGCAGCTCATTACCGCATTACCCCACAAGGGGGCGAGGTTTGCTATGTCTGATTTCCTTTAGGTTGGAAATAGACCGGGGAAACACTGAGTTGGTTATTTATGTGTTTTATGCTTAGCTCCTGACTTGTGTCCATAAAGATGCCTGGAAATATCCATCTGACACGGAGTGGTGGATCACGTTGAGGGAAAAAATGACTGCAAATGCAAAAATATCAAAGGTGACTGGGACTCATTTTTATAGCTATAGTTTGATAAAACATGTGTATTCTACTTTAAATATTATGTCTCTGATGTTTATTTACACTCTCGTCACAGGCACTTGCTCTGCAGACAACGTTGCCTTTGAACTATTACACAGTGTTTCATCACATCTCCCAGCTGCTGCCACATGACTGCATTGTTGTCAGTGAGGGGGCAAATACCATGGACATAGGACGCACCATGCTGAACAACTACCTACCTCGACACAGGTAAAGAAAAGAAGTTTAGGACTTGATATTTGTAAGAATGCTGATTAGGTTTTTGCTGAATTGTTTACAGTAATTGAAGTAACTTAGTTTAAAGAGAATAGTTAGCTTAAAGTTGATTCACAACAAGCCTAATGTAAATGCAATAGCTTATTAAGGACATCAAAATTCCACACTTGGCATTCAATGTAAAGCCATGCATGTTGGGAAACACACATAAGTAGAGTAGTGGACGGAGGTAAAGTTGTAAATATAATTAACTGAATCTTAAAATTGAGCATAATATAACTTGTAATTAGTTCCCAAACATTTAAAAAATGGTATTAATAAAGATTTGTAACGTATCTGAAGCTTTATCTAAGCTTTAAGGAAATATAAATTAGACCAAATGCTTATTATGTTTGTGCTCTGTGCAGACTGGATGCTGGTACATTTGGAACAATGGGCGTAGGCCTTGGATTTGCAGTAGCTGCGGCTGCTAAGGAGCAAAGTGAGAAAAAAAGTAAAAGGGTCGTCTGTGTGGAGGGAGACAGTGCATTTGGATTTTCTGGCATGGAGGTGGAAACCATGTGCAGGTATGTTTGCTTTCTCCCTGTCTAAACATCCATCCATCCATTTTCATCCACTTATCCGTTACTGGGTCACGGGGGCAGCAGTCTCCATGACCGCTGCACCGTACCAGCCCCCTGTGAACCTTCCTGCGGGTGGTGAGTCCAATGGGAGGCACTAACCGCCCTAACCAGGAGACATTGCCTCTGGGCCAAAGCACCACCCTGTCTAAACATATTAAGTTCTAACCTAGGAAATGAGTCCCTGTTACAATCTTTGTTTTTAAACAGGTACATGCTCCCTGTGGTCATTATCGTGGTTAATAACAATGGGATATACAGCGGATTGGATGCTGGCACATGGAAAGAAATGGCTAAAATGGGAAATCTTACATCAATGTGAGTCAGATGATTCTGACACATCATTGCCACTGTGAAGTGTTCGATTCACTCAACTGTGATAAAACTATTTTTTTCCCTGAACTCTGCAGAGCCCCTCCGGTCAGCCTCCTACCCGATGCGCGTTATGATGAGATGATGACAGCGTTTGGTGGCCGAGGCTTCCTGGTGAGGACAGTGGAGGAGCTGCGCAGTGCCTTACAGATGAGTCTGAATGACTGGGAGAGGCCCAGTCTCCTCAACGTACTTATCGACCCGTCCTCTGACAGAAAGCAGCAGGTAACTATAACCTCCATGTATCATCTCATGGTAGCACAATTAAAGATTGAAAGAACGTCCAGGTTTTAGGTGTGTTTCACTTGAGAATCAAATTACTTGCTGCCAAAAAACTTCACAACACTGCTATGGTCTGCACAAAAAAAGCTGTTTATCTGATTTTATCCATATATACACACATATATATATATATATATATATATTGGATCTACAGTGTTAGAATGTATCAACAACAACTAGAGGTTAAATGTATCGCCATGTGTAACCTGTGAGTTAATGTCAAAGCCTGGCAACCTCTCTAGAAATGAGCTGCTTCTACAGTCAGTGGCTGAGCTAGAGTTATGACAAACTCCTATTCATCCTCTCAGCTGGGGACATTAGTAAATTAGCTCAAATACAATCCTTGCCAAAAGAAATTGAATGTAAGAAAAAAGTTTGGTGTTAATTCCCTCTACTTAGTCATCAACATTCTTTTCTAAGATGAACCAATCAAAAATAAAATGTGGGCATAAAGGACGGTGTCATAATTTATCGACACATTAGTCCACTTGTTAAAAATGCAACGCAATAATCTGTCAGGCACAGATTCCAGTTGGCGCTGGATGTATGGACCTATTCTACATTTAAAGTTAGTAAAACAGGACACACTGTGTTGAGGAGACGGCCTCGGTGAACAACAGAGAAACGGACATGACGTTAAAGCGTTATCTGCAGACACAAAAGTAAACAGAACGTATCATCAACATATAAACTAACCTGGAAAAGCTGTGACGTAAAACGTGTCACAGCCTCTTGTTAACACTACATTACTACTATGTACACAATTATGAATGATGAAAACCTGTATGTAAGATGAGGTTAAAATATATGTTCAATCAATAACATAAATGTAAGTATTGCTTAATAAAACAGTTTCCTATTAGAATGGCATAAAAGCTGAAATTTTGTGAACATGGTCTCTTAAACATAGTGTCAGACACGGTTGTCTGAATTAAGGGCATTAGTATGAGCGAATGTTAGTGAATGAGGTGTAAAAAACACACAGGACATTTACACAAAATTCCATGGGAGTTTGTTTCATGATTTACCTGAGAGTGACCACCAGCTCTTTGTTTACTTGCCTCCTGTGACATCCCCACAGAGCTAAATATATACGTCATATGTTAGTGAACACTAATCCAGACGGTCCAGGTGCATCGTAGAACTGTTGTGTTCCACTTACAATGCCTACACTTCACGCCAGTCTGACCTTTCTATTTCAGCATCCCCATAATTAGAAACAAGGTCCTCTGTGTTTATGTTGTACGTATCCACGCAACCTAATGCACACATGTTTCAAGGTTAGATTTAAATTGTAATTGTAACCATAGTCCTGAACTCTATGGTTGATCCCTTAGCAACCTATAGTGGAATCAGGTCATTGTTGTCCAAGGGAGCAGGAATAATATTGAATTCTATTTACTCTCGCCAGATATGGAAAATAGGGCTTTACTTATTTTACTTACACACTTGATGGAAAGTCAGCTATCGTCTAGGACTCCTCCTTGGTTGGATGCTCCTTTTATACCCATTTACGATTCACAGATTTGCCCAATGACTGCTGGGATTTCCTTTAGCCGCCCTCCTGTCCCTGTAAATGATATATGTCATAGAAGAAGAATACATGAATATCACTGCACAGTAGAAAAACTTTATTGTGTGCTACAATTATAACTAAAGGCTACTGAATGTTCTTCTACATGCTTCAAAAAGGATGATGAAGATTGGAGTTTGCCTAATTGTTTCATTATATTCAGCTGGTATCAGATACGAGTCTCTGCTCACTGGGTAGAAACAAAAGGAACAGAAACTTATTATTTGATGACTTATTTTGTGTTGTCTGTGTTTGCAGGAATTTCCATGGCTCACTCGGTCAAACCTATAAACCCAAGACTGCAGTAGGGTGTTAAAACTGCACCTTGTATAACCATCAGCCCATAATTAACTTGGGTGTTTTAAAATACATTGTATCAGCTGCATCTAGCAGTGTGTGTTTTTTTTTCAACATGTCATAAATGTATGTATGTGAACTGATGTGAGCAGCAGTGGTAGGAAGTAAAAGAATAAGAAACTCACTATGAAAAAGCTACTGCTCTTTTAGTAGGAAACATACAGCTTGACTTTCTGTGACTATATGCAGATTCATACTGCCTATTTTCACACCCCGGTCTCTGAAACGATGATGGACTATAAGCTATATTTGTGTATTTCTCACACTCACAATTTGTAATAAATAAAAGCTGCTTCTTTATTTTAGTAAATATGGTATTATCAGCATTTAGTAAGTCTATGGAAATACAAGACAGTGCTTTTATGAGGACAAGCTGACCAAAACAAAATAGTCCTACACTAAGCTTATTCCATGTTGCTGCTTTATTATCAAAGGGGACACAGGAGAGTCACACACTTGCTTAAGTCAGAGTGCTCAAATTTGCTTCCATCCACTAATTAAAAACCGTAATTGAATGTCTGGCAGTAAAGCCCAGTGTGGGTTCGTCTGTGGTGAGTCTCCTTACTGGAGGAGCATAAACAACAAAAGCCAGCCCTGCAGTTGTACAGACCACATAGCGGCACTGGGAGCAGCTGGTGGGCTGTCTCCTGTCATTTTAGCGCACACTGATTTTGAGGAAAGATTTAATAGGACATTGGTCATCGTACCCTCTTCTGAGGACATAAAGGAGACGGAGTACACTGAGCAAAGAGGGAGGGGAGCCGAGGGGAGAGGACACGGGAAGAGAGAGAGAGAGAGAGGGCGAAAGGAAGGCTGCATGTGAGGGCGGCTGTGGCTCAGAAATAAAGTCTGGCAACTATCTGGAGCAGCATGACTCTTCTAACACTTGGATTGTGTCTGCCACTGTGGTTCTGCTACGGCCTGGCCCAGTCCTCCTTTATGGATGACTTTATTTCAGTCTCAGCAGGTAAGAAAACTGAATGGTGAATGTGTTTGTGTGTCTGTTTACTGTACAAACATTGATAATGCGTGTACAGGTGTTGTGATCACTGAGCGTGTAAAACCAGTGACACTAGATGTCGGGCAGTGGGGTTCAGTTTTAGATCATTATGTCTGAATAATCACCGTGTTTTTATTTTCTCCTGGTGCATGAGGTCGACTAGAAATGCCTCTATAAATAGTAAGACCAGCTCCAGTCCTCCAGTGAGAGCTACTGTCCAGCTTTAGTGACTGTGCTGAAAGGGTGTCATGATTTGATAGTCTGCACCTGTTTGCCTGTCATTCATGTTTCCTCCTAACATGTTTTAATGCCAACATTTCCCCCAGTTTTGCATCAGAAACACTGTGTGTACAGTGGTTATCCTGCACCTGCCTGTCTGTCTGTTTAGTTTTGTTGCAAACGTTTGAAAAGTTTTTACTTTCTGAAATGTTCTAAAACATGTGGACCCACTGACTGATTGACTGATTAGACGCACACACACCTTGCACAGCCCTCAGGTCCCAACAGGAGCAGAAGAGATTCAACCCCTGCTGTTTGCTGAGTCCACCTCCACCCCCACTTTTTCCTCCACCCCCTTCACTTTGGCGCCGCTACACTCATGTGAGTCAAAGTCATGTGACTTATTCTAGTGTGGAATATCTGGCAGTTAATTTTGTCCGTAGGTTAAATTCAGACACATTATCTTTAACCAGCTGAGTCTTTTTTGAATGTTTTTATGTCACAGAATGGAGAGCTTTATAACAATGGTGCTGAATCCAACCCAGGCAAAGACAACGAAGGTTCTGCCTGTGTCAAAGGGCCTCCAGGGCCAGTTGGTCCTCCTGGACCTCAGGTACGACACAAACCCAACTCAAACTCACTTATTTGTCTTATGACAAATAAATGTGATAAGTTATACTAAATCATGACCCACATGTGGGTTTTTCTTACCAACTCATACTAGAGCAACATATTAACATATATGTTGTCTTTGACTTTGGGGATCTTACGTTGGGGGTTGGGGGGTTGGGGGATTTCTCTGGCCCCCGAAACACAGCAGAACATTAACGCTCCACATTTAGCTCAGACACAAATAGCCTTTTTCCACCGCCTGCCAGTGCTCCACACATCATTCTTAGAACCCAAGTAAAGAGCCGTCTGCCTGGAAAGGCATACTGTGCTGCGTAAATTCCAGGGATTACCGGCACAAGCGTGCGTCTGTGTGTTTGTGTACGGTGGTGATGAAAGATACAAACGGTTTGGAACCAAAAACCTCCTCCACTCTTCAGACAGCAATTCATTTATGGAGAGAGATTTACCAAATGATTGCTTGTGCTGGACTCAAGCATCAGTTGAACTGGCGCAGCATTTCACCCTAAGTTTGCCAATCGATAGCAGCCACTCAGCCTTTACCTAATTGAAACTGCTGCTGTAGGTCTCCAGAAAGAATCTTGCATTTATGGGGGGGTATGGCGGACACTAAAAGTACTTTAGATGGCTATCTCTGTGATTTATTATCATGTGATGTCACTTTTATGATTACCAGGGTCCTCCTGGATTACCTGGAATAGCAGGAGCTAAGGGTGAAAAGGTAAGTTTGTCATTTTCATTTTCTATTACTGTTTGTTGTTTATTCCAGTGCTGCTCATTCTTATTCTTCCTTCTATTAGCTGAAATTAAATTGTCTGGTTACAAATGATTGGAAGTGTATTAAATGGCGGCTGTCCTTGTTCCCTCCTCTACATCCTGTTGTCAGGGAGAAATTGGACGACCCGGGCAAAAGGTGAGAGTCTCCATTAATCAAACCATATTCCCTGCTAAGTGGATTTACTCCAAAATGAGATACAGCTCCTCCACCTGCTCACTCCACCCAGCTGTGCCCTACCCTGCTTGTGCCTGCTTGTGTATCAAGACATCAAGCACAACCTTGACAGAAGACAGAGCAGTCACTTTGAAGGGATGCAAGTGAAACAGCTGCTCATACAAGCTGTTTTATTTAACGTCTCAACAACATCCTGCACCACAGCTACTTGTCATTATTACGCACTGTTGCTTTGAACAACAACCTGAGAGGATGGTTCTTAGTAGGTTTCTAGGCTAGATGATGGAGTTTAAGAAGTGACTTGTGTGATGGTCAAATGCTGTGAGAGAAGAGGCCCAGCAGACGCTGGGTTTGACTGTTGTCCTGACAGAGCAGCTTTGCAGCACTGCAGTGTAATTTAGCTTAGTGCTCCAGCCAGGCCATAAATCATTTTATACTCCTGTTCTCCTGACTCCTGTTCTATATACAGCCCATCATTTAATTAAGAGAGCAAAGTGACAGGGCTCGTTAAAGTAATGTCACTCCCTACATGTACAGCAACTTCTAATAAATACTGTAGCAGCTGCCTGCCACAGTACACACTTGTTACACTTATTTCTATTTTTTTTTTACCACAGCAGACCGATATGACTCAGGTTTTATTACTATTTGCTGTTGTTTTATTGGGTATTTTATGAGACATGTCTTCGGCTCAGTTGTTAAAGATATTGTCTACTGTCAGGGTCGGACAGGTCCTCAAGGACTTCCTGGAAAGCAGGGACCAGATGGATGGCCTGGACCAACTGGGCCCAAAGTGAGTAAGTCAGACCTTATAACATATATGTGATTTAAAGCATTAAGTGCAATTAAAAGGTATTTAGAATAAAGACACTGTTGACATTGTGTTGTAACTAACATCTAGTTGAGGGTGAAGTTTACTTCAGATCTGATCGTTTTAAAACCTTAGATAACATTGGTAGATTTGATCTCATCTCATTGATTTCATCTGTGTCAGGGTGACAAAGGTGACCCGGGACTGATGGGTTTGCCTGGAGCCAGAGGACCAATTGGGCCAAGGGTATGATTTTAAAATAAATTCTTAAATGATGGTACAACAATAATGATCAATACAATATTGATTTAACAAGTGTTTTTGTTTATGTTTACTCCAGGGTTTAACAGGGTATAAAGGGGAAAAGGTAAGTGACTTAATGCTTATATTTATACCGATGAATTCATTTTATTAATTGTTTTTTTTTAATAAATGTTTTGTAAGACATGTTTGTTGTGAATCATCAGGGTTCTCGAGGTGATCATGGTGACAACGGCATGAAAGGTGACAAGGTGGGCAGTGGGACGATTCAGTAGAATTACTGTAATATATATTATGCCTTCAGTATTTTTGCACAGTATTTAATCATAGTGAATACAGTGTACACATGCTATCTTGATAATGTATTTATTATCAACCCATTTACAATTCACAGGGTGCCATGGGTTTCCCAGGAATGCTTGGACAAAAGGTGAAATACACACTCAAGACAGAAACATAGACTTGCTAAAAACTTCTACTTAGATTTCAAACCATTCAGATTAACAACCTGACTACGGTATGTTGTTTTGATTTGTTCTTAAGGGTGAAATGGGTCCAAAAGGAGAACCTGGAATCTCAGGGAACAGAGGGCCGACTGGTCGACCAGGAAAAAGAGGCAAACAGGTAATGTATCTGTGGACGTTTGACTCTTCTGGTTACCAGTATTTAATTCTTAGTTATGTTGTGTGTGTCTGTGCAAAGAATGTTTACAGAGTATCCAAAAACAATATAGGTTAGTCTTATTTTGATTTACCTTGGTAATAAATTTAAATTTATTGAAGCTGAACTAAGGAAAAACTGAAACCACTTTGATCACATTTTAATAATAAACAATGGATAAATAACGGTACACTTTCACTGTCATTGTACATTTCTCACTGTCTTCCAGGGAGTTAAAGGGGACCCTGGCACTCTCGGCCCTATGGGACCTGCGGGCCCACAGGGGCCTCAGGGCCATCCTGGCCCCCCAGGGTTACCTGCCACAGGTCAGATCTTAATTCACAATTTCTTTCACCCTTTATCCCAAAGTCTGAAAACCATAAGGATTGTTTAACTGCTTGGACTATAACTCCTACTGACCTGCACTTTATCTTTTTGTAATTTCTACTACCATAGTTTTATGTATTTATTCATAATACCCTTGAAGGTTTTTGCACTTTGGACATTAATCCAACACTCCAACAGGATTTTTCTTTTGTTGATCTCTAAACAATTAGTTTTGTGGTTCTGTATTTGTTATGTTTCCCAGCGGATGCATTCACTCCTTATCTGAACAGCTGTCGTGTTGCACAGCAGAATGAAAATACATCTGCAATGATTCAATTACATTCATCATTGATTGATTACACTGATACTGAAAGGATGTTTCGTCATTTTGAGGAGAACTGATTTGCGAGTGATGGGACAGGAAAACACTGTTATCAGCAGAAGGACACAGACTCTACATCAGAGTCTGTCAACAGAGTCATCAGAGTCGGGGCTCAGAATGGTCATCTTATTTAGCAGCAGCTAGCTTAAACCTCCAGAGGTGAAACAGGACGCTGTCCTTATGACATCATGTGACTAAAATGGAATCACAGATGGCAAGGCTCCCCTCAGTTTTTACAAACACTGTGTCACCACATAACTAAAGAGGCATCTTCATCAGGTTTCTGCCTGTACTGAGCTGATTGTGTTTGCCCATGAACTTTCACACATTACTGTCTTGACGTGTGTATTTCCTCTTCTGTTGGTAAACAAGTGGCTTTTTTTGTTTTTTTGAATCCCTCTGCGTAAGTTTAGGTGTTTACATGGTTGGAACAAAAGGCGCACGTGGTCCACCAGGGCCTCCTGGGAAGTGTGGCTGCAGCTCCATCGGTGGCCCTCCCTTTGATGATTTTTCTTCCAAAGAAAACTATCCCAAAGTTCCAGTGGTAAGACTGAGTTTGCACCTGGTCATTTTAAAAGGATGGCTGAAATTGTTTGTGAAAATGTCAAAATTCACTTAACTATTGAAACGTAGCATCACTCTATGCCTTTTTATCAGATATTCGTGGTGAGCAATGAGGAAGAACTGGAGAACCTTAACATTGATAATGCTCTTGCATTCCGCAAAGACCAGCGATCCCTCTATTTTAAAGACATTGATGGCTGGCTGCCAATCCAGGTACGACTGCTCTGAGCAAAGTCTCCATCCATTTAATGTGCGTATAGCTGTTGATATATTCAATTTTTTTTTTATTTCTTTGGAAGACTTTTCCATTCCAGCTGACACCGTTCCAGTCCATGGAAAATGCTCCTGAAGATGAAGGCTACTGTGGTGACGGCATTGTCCAGATTTCTAGAGGGGAGGAGTGTGATGACACGAACAGGGTCGTCACCGACGGCTGTGTCAGTAAGTCCACGTCCATGTTGGACAAACCATAAAGATTTTTGGGTCTTACTTTGTTGTGAACATATGCAGTATCCTGACTCCTGCAAACAGCTGTGCTCTGTGTCCACAGAGTGTAAACATGCTTACTGTGGAGATGGATATCGCTACGAGGGGGCAGAGGAGTGTGATGGAAAAGACTTTGGATACCAAACATGTAATTCATATCTTCCAGGGTAAGCACATTATATAAATATTTGTGAATAATAGGGCTGTCAAACCATTGCAAATCTAGTGAATAACAGATTGATAATAATGAATGAAGTACGTATTTTTGTATAATGCTGAAAAAGGTCAATAATAGCACATAGATGAATGTGTTTTACACCTGTTTCGATTTCTGACTAACGAATGATGTTGCTCTTTTGATTTTGGATTTGCACCTGTTCTTCTTGGGTAAAAGACTTACATATTGTCTACTCTAATACTTGGGCATTTTAAAAAGTCTTTTAAAGTACTTTTTCAAAATAAAGCCTGAAATTGCCTGCTAAGAATATTAGAATTTCTGGAAAAAGACATCTGTATTTATTCAAATGATCAACATAGTTGATCATTTGCAAAATAGATTACAAGTAATGAAGCCTGATCTGAAACCAGGTCTTTGGTGAATACTTTATTTTATAAGCTGGATGTAGAACCTACAACCAAATATTGTTTTATTGAGAATTCTCATATTTTTTTACCTTACTATTATTTTACCTTACTAGGCCTATTACTATTACTTTTTTCTTCACGTTTTTGTAACATGTTTGAGGCCTCAATTTTTTTAAATTTGCCATTAAAATATTGAATTCAAATGGTTTATGTGAAAAGTTGGGATCATTAAAAAGAAAAGTATTCAATAGCTGTATTATGGGAAGGTAAAGGAACTAACAGAAGGCTTTTCTTTAACCTACAGGTCGTATGGTCACCTCAAGTGCACACCCTACTGCGTCATAGACTCTACAAACTGTAAGTACTTCACATGAGGATGGAGTTGGATAGTGCAGTCACATCCTCTGTGTTGTGGGCTTCACACACAACGGGATTAATACCATGCAAAAACGAAGAAAAGGAGCGAGTTATGAACGAGGGACTCTGATCGGAGCTAAAACTGGTGTTACTATTACAAAACAAAACTCACATTATACAACTTCTCTGTACTGCTGCTGAGATGCCACAAAAGTCCTTGGAGTTATCGATCAATTTAACCACAAACACGTGGTTAAAGAAACTGCACAGGACAACTGCAGTCTGTCTTAAAAATCAGGACGGGCGTCCTCACACACCTGATTGGTCCAGCCTCAGCCTCTGGATTCTCCTGTTTTATAACAGTAGTGCTAATACTTCATTAAGTGCCAGCTGAAGGAGCAGCGCAGCAGCTGGGCTCAAGTCACTGA